CAAACAATTTCAATGAAATTTGCATTTCTGAAAACCTCGTTCCTAAATATATATATATATATATATATATATATATATATATATATATATATATATATATATATTGTATATACCCCGGTATATATTGATATTCTTTCTATATTGTTCATCTTCTTCTAAGTCGTCCAAGAAATCATTGAAATCCCTGGATATCAAACAGTCAGTCAATCGCAAATCAATTAGTCTAATAATCAATCAATTGATTAATTAATCAATCATTCCATCACATAATTAACCAATCAACCATTCATTCATTTAATCAATCTCATAATTAACCAATCAATCAAATAATCAATCTAGTACGACCAGTAACATCAACATTTGATGATCACTCACTTACTCAACCAATCAATCAATCAATCAATCCACCTACCAGCCAACCAACAATCAATCAACCAGCCAACAAATCAACAAATCAACCAACCAACAATCAATCAGCCAACAAATCAATCAACGAATCATCAATCAATCAACCAACCATCCAACAATCAATCAGCCAACCATCCAACATTCAATCAACCAACCAACTAACCTTCCGGCGCTACTTCCGGCGTCCAGTTCAACGTCATCAGTGATATGCTTCAACTTCCACATCCTTCTACTAGCCCTCTTGCCAAATAATTTCTTAATCAATATCTGTGAAAGAATGAATGAACGAACGAACGAATGAATTAATTTATGGATAAATGGTTGTATAGATAAAAAAACAGATGTATATACATACATACTTGCACGCATGCACACACACATACAAACAAACATACATACAAACAAACAAACAAGCACACATACAAACAAACATACATACACACAAACATATATACATACCACTTCTGGTAAATTCTTCGGATTCATCTTCTCAAAATTGTCGTCGTTGATGTTCATATTTTTTAAATCAAATCTTCAAAATTGAAAATTTTAATTTATAAATGTCAATTTTAGTGTATTACTATCGTGTGTGTGTGTGTGTGTGTGTGTGTGTGTATGTGTGAATGTATGTATGTAACTGTGAATGTATGTATGTATGAATGTATGGTCCCCTTGTTGATAAAAGCTATGAAGGAGCTAAAATCAATTTCAGGCTTTATTTATGTTCGGGGTTCCTGCACAGAAAGGTACTTCGTTGCTCCTTCCATAATACAAAATGCATTAAATCTTTGTAATAATATTGAAATGTATTGTTTTATGTAACGCTTATTTTCCGGATTGCCGAAAATCTCGACAATTTTTGCTATTAATTGATTAATTGTGTGAATGTGTCTATGTATTTCATCATAATTATGGATAAAATTAACGTAATTTCTCTAGCAACACTAATTATCGATAGAATTAATGTAATTTCACTAGCAACACTAATTAGCCTAATTCCCTAATGTCACTAACTCCCTAATTTTACCAACCCAAGAACGGTGTCACCGGGTTTGAGAATACGCCCGAGATGGGTTCTGCACTGGTACTGCTGATGGCCAATCTCCCCTAACTCACTCGTCTTCGTCAACCACACGTGCCCCAAGTTGTGCTGATCGGTCGGTTAGTCGGTCGGTCGGTTAGTTGATTGATTGATTGATTGGATTAATGGTTAGATTACTGATTGATTGACAGGTTAGAAGAATGATTGGTTTGATAGTTGAGTGAATGATTGATTAGTTGACCGGTAAGATGGTTGTTTGAATATATGAAGTGAAGGACTATAACTAAGTAGCTGAATAATAGATAACACATTAATTACATAGTAAACAAACATGAGTCAAATTTGAATTCTACTAAACTAAAACTTCAAAACAAATAATGTCTCTCTTTCTCACTTTTTTCCCCTCTCACCTTATTAGATTCCCAGCCTTGACCTCCTTTCTTCTCTTTGGAGTGACGATCGTCCAGTAGTTCGCAGTGCGTCACGATGAACTCGGTGAGTTGCTTCGGATGGCATATGGACAGCACTGGATTCCTCCAATATACATCGCTCCTTATGACCGATGCTGTGTTGGTGAGTGGTGGTGGTGTGTTTGATTGACGGACTGATTGGTTGATTGGTTGGTTGGGGGATAAGTGATAGGTTGGTTGAGATGGATTGGAGGAATGGATGGATGAGTGAATGGATAATTAATTGATTGAAGTATTGATAAATGGATTGATTGATTTGTTAGTTGATTGACTGATTAGAGGAATGAATAATTAATGGATTGAAAATTCGATTGATTGATTGAAGATGTTCATTTACTACAAGAAAAGATGAAGATGATGACGATAAAGATAATGATGACATCTGACGACGACAACGGAAAGATACTCATCTGCAGCAGAAGTAAAACAAAATCGAAAAAATGTTTTTCCCCAACTAAAAAATGGACCAAAGAAACTAAATAGCTCATACATTTACAAGTCGTTGGGTCGATAATGTAGATCATACTGGTCACTCTGAAGACCACACACAGCTGACCGATGTTGCCTAATTGTCGTGCGAACTGCGGGGTTAAGCAGACGACATTATCCTTGCATAACGGCACGACTTCGACGCAAAATGTATGCTTGTAGTTGTAGATATTGCTCTTTTGGTCGTGAGATATCAACTCTTTGGCTGTGTTGGATCTGTGTGTATGTGTGTGTGTGTGTGTGTTTGTGGGTGTGTGTGCGAGCGTGTGTAAGTTTATTTGTGTGTTTGCAAATGTAAGTAAAAAAATTTGAGAATTATTTGTATAGTAGTAAGGATGTCAAACAACGATTTGATGACCGACAGATTGGTTGGTTACTGGCTGATTGATTGATTAGTTGACTGACTGTGTGTTTAATTGATTGAATAATTGGTTGATTAATTGAAAGATCAGTTGTTGATTAGTTGTTGATAGATTGTTTAATTGAGTGATTGGCTGGCTGGCTGGCTGGTTAGAACCACCTGCATGGAACAACAGCCTGCAAAAAGTCGACCATCTTTCTTGCCTCTTGTTGGTTCTGATAATAAAAGTCCAGTCCCTCTAAGAATTTTAATTAATTTATTAATCAATTAATCAATCAATCCATCAATTAATCTCTCAATCAACTGATCAATCATCCATCAACCATCCAATCAATCAATCCATCAACACCAACCATGAACTTGTTTAACATTGGAACACGTAAGGTGTGCCTTGTGCTTCAATATAAGCTGTTCCAGGTAATATAATGTCTTCTTGTGTGATGTCTACATGATTAATAATTTTTTACAAGTAATAATTATTGTCATAATCAACCAACCAACCAACCAACCAACCAACCAACCAACCAACCAACCAACCAACCAACCAACCAATTAGTCAATCAATCAGCAACCAACTCACCAACCAGTCAATCAATCAGCAACCAATCAACCAACTAACCAACCAGTCAATCAATCAGCAACCAATCAACCAACTAACCCTTTGTCTAATTTGTACGCAAGCTCTCCAATAATCTTTAGCTTCGACCCTATGGCAGTCATCACACATTTGATTATTGACCACGTATTCTATAAGCAATTTCTCTTGCAATATTGCTCCCTGCATGACCTGTTACCAAAGATAATAAAATTTTCACATGAATAATTAACATTAACATACATAGATACATACATGCATACATAAATGTATTCATATATAGACACATACATACATGCATACATACATACATAAATACATACATACATAAATACATACATACATACATAAATACATACACATACATACAATCATATACATACATACATACTTCTTTTTGAATGGTAATTTTGACTTTGAGTCTTTTCGAATGTGGTTCTGTCCATGAGAAACCTGCATCAACCAGACGAACTGACTGATGTTTTTTAATTATTAAATTAATTAATTAGTATATTAATTAATCATTCAATCAATCAATCAATTAACCAATCAATCAACTAACAAACCAATCAATCAATCAGCTATCCATCCAATCCAATCAATCAGTCATATAAAGGAAAAAAAAATACATAATCAATATATCACCATCACAATATTATAAACATGAATGCTATTAAGTATTAAAATTATATTATATCATAATAATTATAGCATAATAATTAGCAATAATAATAAATAATTAGCAATAATAATTATTATCTCTGACTTTATCAATGCCTTTGATTCTTTTAAGACATAACGCAAGCAGTTCTCTAGATTCTAAAGAAGCTTTAACCCATGAATTTGGAGGTTGAAGATATCTAGGTGGGGATATTTTATTATTATGATTAATAATAAAAATAATTATTATTAATAATAATAATTATTATTATTATTAATTATTATTATTACCATTCGTGTGATTTATAATTACAAAGTTTTTTAATGAATTTATTTGAAATCTTTGCCAAATTTTCTGTAACTTTATACATAGACATAGATAGATTGATTGATACAAACTGCATATGTACATACAAACAAACATACATACGTATACAAATACATACATACAAACAACTATTATATATAGACATAGAATATAGATAGATTGATACAAACAGCAGATACATACAAACAAACATACACATATAATATAAAAACAAGCAACAAGCCCATTTTAATTTCAACACACCTCTCACAGTTCCTACAGAAGTAGAGTGTATACTGTTTGGGAATGTCATCACTAATTCCCACCCTATTCTTCAGACAGTTCACACACGTATTTGCTGGATTTGGCACGATGGGGATGCCACATTCGCAGCAAAGACTATGGGGATTTGATTTTGACAGTAGATTTGGTATGTAAAGATAACCAAGGTAGATTATTATATAGAAAAAATCTTATTTTACATTAAATTTAATTACAAAAATTTTTAATAAACTTTTATTTTAACTTTTATATATGATTATAATGAAAATAAAAATAAATGAAAAAAATTTTTTGAAGAGTTTACTATTAATAATTAATAGTAAACTCTTCAAAAAATTAATAATTAATTATTAATTTTACACTTTTTTCTACTAACATGGCCTCAGACGGATGATTAGCCGAATCCGGATTTTCTTCCTCCGGCATATATTCCATTTTACAAATCTTAACAAATTTGAACGTTAATCTGAAAGTTTTAATCACAAAAGTTATACAGACGTAACTTTCAATATTTTAATTTTCTAGCAACAAACACGTGTGGCTTGTGGCCATTAAAATGTTGGGCAATGCAAATAACCAATATGTATTTTAAATAAAGTTATTTAATTACTAATACGTTTTAATGATTAAATAACATACATTAAAAATCATTATTTTAAAATATATAAAATAAATATTTATTTTTATAAAAGTTAAGATTTATAGAATTTATAGATGAATTTTGTAAAAGTATATTTTTTACTTTTACTTAAACTTCTAGTCCTAAAGTGATTTTCGGCTGTCCATATAATTTTTCATTATCGTCCAATTTTCTACATCATTCAAGGTTGTCAGCGTTCTTTACTTACAAAATTCAAATTAAATAATTAAAAAATTGTTTAATTAAATTACCTTAAATGGTATTTAAATTTGGCATATTTTCCGGAGGCATTGAACGTGCGAGCGTTGATAATCATAAGGTTAGGAGAACGAAATTAGTCAAGGGAGTAGTGGATAAAAAACAAGGTCGTAATACGTGCGCACTACTAATAAAATATTGATACCTTTTTAAATAAATTAAATTAAAGTATTTTAACATTTATTTTCTAAGCACTTGATCCCGAACAAGGAAATCTCGAAGGAGGCCACAGTTTTTCGTTTCGAGAGTAAAAAAGTTCACCCCGTTGTAGACATGCCTGTCAGTTTAGGTACAACTCCACACATCACCTTCACGACGTCTGCCCACTCGAGTGCAGCGTCTTCTGCCGGATCGAAGATACCCCAAGGTCTGATCCCGGCCAGTGCTGGCTACAACCAGATTGTCAAGCTTCAGAAGTTGTTTCTTGTTAGTATTCTTTTTTAATTGTGTTTTTCTATTGATTTTTCACTTTTAAACATTTTTAAAAATCATTATTACCATTGTTATATTTTCACTAATTTAAACTAATTTTTTCTAATCCAGAAACAGGATGGTAAGTTTGTGTGGCAGAAGAAGGGACCAAGAGATGTCGGCCTCTACCTGACTGCCCTCGGTCTGACGGCAGCTGGATTAGGAGTTAGTGTCTACCAGATCATCAAAATGTCGTTCAATTAAAGTTGATGTGCACAGCAACTACAAAGACGTTGATGGCAAAAAATTATTTAAAACTTAAGAAACTATTAAGATATGTATATCATTATTTGTGAATTTTAGTTCTATTCTGTTGAAGTTTATCATCTGATTGATTGATTGACAGATGGATGGATTGATTAATTGATTGATTAATTGATTGATTGATCATTTAGTTGATTAATAAAAGTTTATATACATACATACATTTATATATATATATATTTATATATATATACAAAAAGATTCGAAATTGTGTTTAAATTTGTGTTCAGTTTCATAAGTGGAGTACACTCGCAAGTACACACGTAGTCACGCTGACACACGTGTATGTACAAGTTCGTATCGTTTGGCAATTTATATAGCGCTAATAAAAACTAAAAAAGTTTCATCGAAATCAGTAATCTTGAAATTGCTTTAAGAGAGAGAGTTAAGATTGACATGATGTTAGATCAGTCAGTAGCAATCTAGGTGATGATGATGGTGACGGTGGTTCTGATGATGATGAAGAAGATGTTTGTGAGGATGACGACGATGATGATGACGGTAATTGGAATTGGATGAAAAGCGAGCGAGTGTTCTCAGATGATTGACACTCAACTTGATGACGAAGAAGAAGATGATGACGACGATGATGAAGAAGAAAGTGATGATGACGAAGAAGAAAATGACGACGATGATGATGATGACACTCGCGAGGATGATGATACCGATATTGGTGTTGATGATGATGATGATGTAGATAACAATGCTTATCGTTCAAAGAAGTGATCGAATGTTCAAGTCTACATTTTGTTATAATAAGAATAATTATAAATGATAATTATGACGACGATGATGGTGATCTTTCCAACGATGGTGTGATGTTACAGCACCATTAACATCACGTCTATCTACTTGTCACGTGTATGTATGTTCTCTCTCTCTCTCTCTCTCTCTCTCTCTCTCTCTCTCTCTCCCTCTCTTTCTGTGTCTCTTTGTATTTTTCTCTTTCTTCCTTTCTATCACTCTTTTTTTCTCTTTCTTTCTCTATATATAAATAAATACATTTCTCTGTTCTTTAACTTGTAATCTACCGACTTAACACATTTAAATTTCTCTCTTTTCTCTCTCTCTCTCTCTCTATATATATATATATGTATATATATATATATATATATATATATATATATAATTTGTTGCTTTATGGTAACATTAAACTTTTCTAATTTTTGTTTCCTTGCTTTAATCATCCGTCAGTCAATCAAAAAAAAACAAAATATACTGTAATAATTATATATAGAGAGAATATGTATACATGTGATGTACATACATATAACAATTATATATAGAGAGGATATATAGATATAGATATATATATATATATATATATATATATATATATAGTAGCAATAATAATAATATTAATTGTTGCATTAATAATGTTAATAACTTTTTTAAAACAATTTCCATTTAAGCTGTTAATTGCAGTCTGCAAGCCACGTTCTTCAGTTCGTTATTGTCATTATTATTATTATGATTATTGCTGTTGTTGTTATTGTTGTTATAATTTTTGTTGTTATTAATGACGTCATCGTCCTTTGTCGTGTTATCATCGTCGACTATGATGTCCCTATCATCGTCGTCGTCGTCGTCCTCTTTGTTCATATTGTTATTATTATTATCATCATCGTTGTTGTTGTTGTTGTTGTTTTCGTTGTTGTTGTTGTTGTTGTTTTCGTTGTTGATGTTGTTGGTGTTTGTCAAGGAGGATGATAATGATGACGATAACAATAGAATTTGAGGTCTATTTAGTAGTGATAAAATGGAGTAATTATTATTATTATTGTTGTTGTTGATGTTGTTGTTGTTTTTGATGTTGTTGTTGTTGATGTTGTTGTTGCTGTTGCTGATGCTATTACTATGGTTTTGTAAGAGACACGTTTTGTAGAAATGTTGTTGATGATGTATTTGTTGATGATAATGATGATGTTGTTGCTGGTAGTAGTGATGGTATGATTGATTTAGTTGTTGTTGTTGTTGGTGATGATGGTGATGATGATAAAACAGAGGATGGTGATGATGATAATGATGTGGCTGCTGTGGTTGAGTTTTGAAACTTGGAGTGAGCAGAGAAATCGCCGAATTGTTGTTATATCGGTTGATGATGTTGTTGTTGCTGATGTTTTTGTTGTCATTGTTGATGTTGTTGTCGTTGAAGTTGTTGATGTGTTTGTTGTTGTTGTTGTTGCTGTCGTTGTTGAAGTTGTTGTTGTCGTCACAATCATCGTCATTATTATTATTATTGTAACGAGATTTTATTACGTCATCATCGTCGTCGTCGTCATCATCAGCTTTCATAACCATCTCGTACCGACTATCGCCTTGGTGATTGAGATGGTGATGTTGGTTATAATAATAATAATAATAATAACCATCAAGTAGATTAGTGTTATTATTGTTATTTTCACCACCAATGTTATCGTTGCTATTAATTTTCTCCTTATGATTATTGTTACTATTACTATCATTCTCATCATTATTATTATTGTTGTTGTTGTTGTTGTTGTTGTTGTTGTTGTTGTTGTTGTTGTTATTGTTATGCGATTTAATGACGGTGACGTCATCGAAGCATTCTTTCTCCCTCCTTTCTCTCGCTCGTCTGTTCTGAAACCAGATCTTGACCTGAATGAATGAATGGATGAATAAATGAATGAACGAACGAATGAACTAGTGAACGAATGAACGAACGAATGAATGATCGAACGAACGAATTAATAAATAAATGAATGAACGAATCAACAGTTGGACGGAAAAATGCACAGTTAAAAAAATTAAACGAATGAATTCTTTAATAAAAATTACATTTCAAATATATACCGTGCTAGCAAATGGACTAAATAAATGACCTATATAAACGATCTTGACCTATTTAAACGTCTTTTACATATGAAAAAAAACCATCTTTGACCTTTGAACTTACCCTGTTTTCCGTGAGGTTGAGGTTGGCAGAAAGTTCGGCGACGTCGATGCTACTTAAATAATGCGTGCTTTTGAATTTGTCTTCCAATAAGTATACCTG